GCTTCCTGTGCGGGGCCCGGGCCCCGGGGAGGCGTGGCCGGTCGGGCCGGGCTGGGCCGGAGCCGGCAGCACCGCAGACCGAGGGCAGGACGTGGCCGAAGACGCCGGCGTCCGGCAGAAGGACTCGGGGACCAAGAGGAACAGGGAAAAGATGGGAAACGTAAGTACCGACCAACGGACACGGATCCAATCTGCCAGATTCCCGAGTTCAAAACCAAGGGGTGGCGAGGGTGCAAGAGAACCGACTCCTTTTTTAAAATACGTGTTTATTGATGTCAGAGAGGAAGGGAGGGAGAGACAGAAACATCCACGATGAGAGAATCAGGATCGGCGGCCTCCTGCACGGCCCCCACCGGGGATGGAGCCCGCACCCAGACATGTGCCCTGATGGGGAATCGAACGGGTGACCTGTTGGTTCATGGATGGACACTCAACCCCTGAGCCACACTGGCCGGGCTGAAAGCAATTTTCACAAAAATCGTGCAGAAACCATTTGTGAATTCACCCGGGGACTCTGAGCCCCGGGGACCCGCTGGGCGCTCTCAGGGAGCCCTCTCCTCCCCGGGGCGAAGGGGCCGGCGATCTGCACGCCTCCTCTCCCGGCGACGCTCTGTGAAATGATTCTGAGAAATGAGGGGCCCTCCGTGGGGTGACACGGGAACGAGCCTAGTTTATAGCCGTAAGTGAGCGTGGCGCGCGGCAGATCAGTGCGTCGGGCGAGCTGCGATTCCTTTTGTACAGAAAAGGGCAGGCGGGGCCTGTGCCTGCTGGAGGCGGGAGAAGGACCGGGAAGAACCGCACAGGGTGCTGACGCGGCATCTGAGGAGCCGCCGGGGACGCGGGGAGCGAGCCGTCCATGCTTCCATTTCAGTAAAACCGTCTTTGAGGAGAAGAATGAAGTTGCCATGTTGCCGCCTCCACTGAGCTCAGGACCCGGGTCCTGACCACCCCCAGTGCCAGCACCACAGACGGTCCGTCTGGGGGCCGGTGCAGTGAGGCCCAGCCGGGCGGCGG